ATAAGGAGGCAGTAGAAACTCAGTGCAATACCCTTAGCTGAGCACCCATCCTCTGTGTGTGATACAGATCAAGGAAGATAGGGAGGCTGAGGAAAAGTTGGATATTAGAAGAGGATTCTAGGGAGAGGTCTTGGGGATGCTATGAGGACTGCACCCCTCTGGAGACCACAAACTTCCCTCCAGAGCTCAGGAGAATCTCATTTTAGTTTTGGAGGAAATTCTTTCCTTAGAGAGAATTCCCTTTCCCTTGACATTCTCCTTGGAGGCATCTCACATAATTGCCTTGCTGGCTTAGACTCTTGAAAACAAAAGCTAGAAAGAGGAGGGGTTTCAGGCAACTTTTGCTTTCCAGCCCCTCACAGACCTCCCCTATGTAAGGAAGCCCTTCTCTTCTTGATTGGGATAGAGAAAATGAGAAATTGTGAGTAGAAACAAAGTATCTTAAAAATTCATGCTGCAGCATGACGTATTTTTTAAAACCAAATTGGGACCATACCAAACACCTTGTTGCTTAAAATTGTATTATATAGTAGACACTTTTCATCTAGTAAATGTTCTTTGAAACATGTGTTTCAAGCATTCCATCTCTTGAAAAGAAACTTTGAGAAAGCTGGAGAAGTCAAAGGGAAAAATAGCCTTTTCCCATGGCAGGTGGCTGGTGTACATCTCTGGTAGGCACCAACTTGAGAGAGTACATTGGATAAAACCTGGATGCTGCAGAATCGAGGCTGGACCAGAGATGTTCACCCTGTCACCATGACCACCATTTCATCTCCATGGTTACCACTTGTTGAGCACTTACTATGTTCCAGGCACTTGCTATCTTATTTTAACCATCAGAGTTCTAGTTATGCAACCTAAGGCACATAATAATAATCTAGAGTGTTGCTATCGTTGCAGATGCTCACCTACCCTCCTCCATTCTGATTCATTTGGATCCGGGTGGGGCCTGGCAACCCCAGTGTTCACAAGTGCTCCTAGTTGATTCTGATGCAAGTGAGTCACTATATATATATATATATCAGCCAGAAGAATGAGGCTTAAAGAAGTTAAATAACTTGCCCCAGACCTTTAACCTGAGGCAGTCTGGAGGTACCCTTTCCCTCCCTTTCTCCCAGGGCGCTAGGGACTGTTCTTTCCTGGTTACTCCCACCTCTCTCCCCTGCTCCCAGACTCTCTGACTTCGGCCTTGTGTTTCTTACATTCTTCCAAAGGGACTGTGCCCCAACCAGCACTATCCCACATGTGCCTGCTTCCAAAACAGCAAACCCTTTCTGTTTATCCTAGAGTCTAGACTATTTCTATCAGCACCATAATCATCACATGGGAATTTGGTAGAAATGCAGACTCTCAGGCCCCAGACCTGAGCTACTGAAGCTGAATCAGATAGATCCGCAGGTGATTCATATACACATTCAAGTTGGAGCAGCTACGGTCCTGGATGCTTCTCAGCCAGACATTGATTTGATTATGTGATTAGGCAATGTACCATGAAAGCACTCATTTTCAACTCTTGTTTGCATTTATAATCACCTAATCCTTTTTTAAAAATACTAATGCCTGGGCCCCATCCCCAGACCAACTGAATTAGAATCTTTGTGGGAGTGAAACTTATTCATCTATAGTTTTAATAATAACTCAGGTGAGTGTAATGTCAAGTTAGGGTTCAAAATCATTCTTTAAATTTAAAAATTTAGAGGAATAATTTAGAAATGTAAGCAAAACTGCTTTGAGTAAAAAGAAAATATGCATAAAATCCTACAATGATTTCCCATAACGTTCAGGGTAAATTTCAAATTTCTCGTATTAGTATCCAAGACCCTTTCTGACTGAGCCCTGCCTACCTCTCTAGTGCCATCTCCTGCTCTCCCACCCCTACCCACTAGGTGCCCCAAACCACTTGCATATCCCCAAACATGCCCTGTTGTTTCATACTGGCGTGACTTTGCCCAAGTTCTTTCTTCTCCCATTTCTTTGACTTACCAGAGACTTGACTCCAGTCTTCTGCCTCTGGAAAGCCTTCTTTGACCCTACCATTCTTGGGGGAAAAAGAAACATATGTTTTTAAAATTAAGATTTTTCTTTACTGTTTTCTACTTATTTGTATTGTCAGTCACATATGAAACCAAGGACCCACGTTGCCCTAGGCAGTTGTATCTGATAAACCTGTCTTCCAACAACTACATCGGGAAAAGGTTAAACAGCTGAATTTGCTAATTGAGAGATGACCCCCAGAATGTTGCTTAACATGGATTTAAACTCCCACAAATGCAAATGCTGGGGCCTCTGGGCAGAAGAAATCATCAATTTTACCTCCTACAAACTTATTGTATGTACCTCACACAAACATATACACAAAAGAAAGCTTCTCATTTTCTAGGAAAGAACTTTTGGTACATCATGTATTTCTTACTCATTTGAAGTCTAATTTGACACATAAATTGCTTTACCTCACTTTCGATCCATCTTTAGAAACACCAAGAAATGAACGTTGTTTTTTGACTTATTTCTCTATGTTGAGAATGTCCTTACCTAGAACAGGACATGAGGACATTTTTGGATTTACTTTTCATGTTTTGGTGACCCATTTTAGAATATGTAAACTTTGGGCCAAATTAAAATGAAAAGCTGAAAGGCCCCTGAGGAATGTTCAGACCTCCTCTTGCAAAAAGAATGCAGCACCTTGTAAGATAAAAGCCTAAACACCTCTGAAATACGTGTTCCATTTTCTTCTCTTCTTTTCTCCCCAATCTTCAGAGACAGGAGTAAGGGAATACCAAGGGTATGCATTTATGCTCTGACATATAAATTCTCCCTGTCCTATCTTCTCAGAACTCACTTGAGGGAGACAAAATGTATTACTCTATTTAAAGGAAAAAATAACAGGTGTTAGCACTAGGACATCAACAATTGGCAAGTACTTTCATTTTTATGTTAAACAAATATTTATTTAGCATCTACTATCTGCCAGGCAAGGAGACAGGCACTTTTCAAAGCAAAATCACTCTCATCTGGGTCCTTGATGTGACTGATCTCTACCTTGGCAAATCCAATGGTCATTTTTCCATTCTCATCTCACTCATCCTCTCAGTGGGTTTCACCCTCTTTCCTTCTTTACGTACTTTCTTCTCTAGTCTTCTCCTGGTTTTCCTTCTATCTCCCTGGCCATGCCTTTGCTCTGTCATTTGCTGGCTCCTCTTTTTCCTGATAACGAATCTTCTTCTCTATCTACAGTCTCATCTTAGGTGAGCTCTTCTAGTCCTGTAGCTTAATGCCATCTAGATGCTACTGATGCCCAGCTCTGTATCTGCAGTCCTCTCTTTATGCTGAGCTCTGCACTGGAGCATATATCCAACTGCCCATGTGGTATCTCCACTTGGATGTCCAATCGGCACTTCAGACAGAGCTACTGCGCCCAGTGTCCCCACATCAAAGCTATTCCTCCCCAAGTCCTTCCCATTTAATAAATTGCATCGTTTGCTTGACCAAAAGTCTAAACATTAGAGACTGGGTTTGGCTGCATATAACAGAAGCCAACTGAATCAGAGAGCAGTTATTTTTTTCACATAATGAGAAAAGCAGAGGCAGGAAGACCAGACCTATGTGGTGGCTCCTCAATGACAACAATGTCCCGGCTCCTCCTATCATTTTCCTTCTCTGTCCTCATGGTTGCTAGGTAGCATCTCCACCTCCAGCCTCACATCTACATTCCAATGCAAAGGAAGAATTAACAAGGTAGAAAGCATAGAACCTACACGGAAATAACAAAACATTCCCCAAAATTCCCAATAGTCTTCTGCTTCTCTCTCATTGTCCAGACTGTGTTACAAATTCCACCTCAGCTGCAAGAGAGGCTGGGAAATAGAGTCTTTTAGCTGGGCACATTGCTACCCTGCGCAAATCAGGATTCTGATATTTGGAAGAAAGGTAGAAAGGATATTGGGTAGGCAGTAGATGACTGCTCTGTTATACTGGACTGCTCTCTCTTCCTACATTTCATTACCAATCCATCAGCAAGTCTTATCGGTCCCACCTCCAAAACACTTAACAAACTCAAATGCTTCTCTTCCTCTCCCTTGATCTCAAATCCTGGACTGAGGAGCCATCATCTCTCACTTAGACCACAAAGCAGCCTCTTCCACAGCTGCCCTTTCTATCATCTTCTCTTCACACAGTAGTGGGAGCAAGCATTTAAAAGTATATAATTATACCATTCTTTCTCTAAAATTCTCCCAAGACATGTTCTCCCAAGCAGATTAAGAGTCTAGGATTTGCTGGACAACACAGGATGGGAGCATGCAGTGAGACTAGGAGAGAAAAGTCCCCCAGAGAAGATGGGATATCAAGCCAGCCTCCCCAGGGGCAACTGAAGCTCAACCCCAGGAGAAGCCCTGGAAATGATGCAAAACACTTTACTCAGAATTACATGACCTGAAGGTAAGAGAAGGTATTTATACATTAGTCCCCAAGAGCTGCTGGCTTCAGCTTTCTTGGCTTAAGCACATAACCCTGAATGTACGTGCTCTTGACTAAACTCTCTGAAAAAGCTGGCACTTTCTTCTGTTTATCGGCCCTCTGCTTACAGAAAGATTCTTCCTACAGCTTCTTCCATGTAAAGCAGAATTGCCAGAATGGGGTAGAGACACTTAATTTCTTTAAAAGGATAAGAAGTTCAAAATACAATTTAAGAATGATGAATGTCTGTCTTAAAATTTGCTAAGTTCTAGTCTATTTGAAAGTAAATTTTTTATGCTCTTTCTTTGACAAAAAAAAAACACATGTAACATTTTTAGTAATATAGTAAGTTTCAGGTAGAGTGTATAAGACTTGAAATATTTATTTAAAGCCAACATATGAAGGTATACATCATTTAATAATAGTACCAATTAATTATATGTGTATTATATCTATAAATAGCATTACTGTAACTATAGATCTGAAGGGTATAGATGAACAGTAAGTAAATAACTGTCATATATTTCTGCCTTTAGATTAGCTTCCTACTTTCCTTTCTTCTTTAATTGTTCTACAAAGTAATCATTACAAGCAACTGTCAGAGCTGCCACCATGACCACGAATTCATTAAAATCCACTTCGTTGTCCTTATTGGCATCCAGGTCCTGCATTATCTTGTCAACCAACTGAGGATCCTTTTGGCACTAAAAGGAAAAAGAACATTCTAACTCCCAGGCTTTGAGGTTCATAATGACAGCTGAAATCACATCTTCCCTCTTATTTACCTTTAAGTTTGGATTTCCATTTTTAGCATGTAAGGGAAATTTCCAAGTGCCTATTTGCAGGTACCTTTGAACCAGGTACCAGGCCTAAAGGGGTCTAGCCCTTGGCCCCAGAGCTCATCAAATGAGCTGCCAATGCTGAAAATGCATTTGATGACATGAAAGGTCAAGGGCCGGGGCACAGGAGGCAGGCAGGGTACATGGAAGGAAGGAGGCTTTGAAACCAAAAAGGGACAATGAGTGTCTCTACCGTTGGTCCACAGTGGGACTTGAACAAACCACTAAACAATTTTTTATTTCCTTATAAAATGGGTAGGATAATATCTCCCCACAAATGTGGGGTATAGTACAACATACTTGTAAAAGGGCTTAGCACCAAGTTGCTAGATTTAGCAAATAAAAGTACAGGGTGCCCAGTTAAATGTGTATTTGATGAACAATCAGTTTTTTAGCAAGTATGTCCCAAATATTAGATAGACAGATGATATTCTATCTGGCACTCTTAGCACAATGCTTGACACACAAAAAAGAGGTACCTAGTGAAGGACAGATCTTATCAGGATGGGTGGGAAGTAAAAGCAAAGAGCCCACAGAGGAGGTCAAGATTCGGAAAGGGTGGGACTGTGAAGCTCTCACCTCTCCTGTGATTAGTGGTTGATGAGAATGTTTCCCTAAACAGTTAATTTCCTCCAGGATTCCCCATTGCCCTCTTATTTAGATGTCAACCACAAATGGCTGGAAACTTAAATTTAACTGATCAAAATCAATTCGATCCAAAGCAATTATAAATTTCACTTTAATAGGTCAAGGTGCTGAGTTTGACCTACTGAGCCTTTATTCTAAATGTTATATCAGATAGTGGCCAAAGTGTATTTGAAAAAAAGAAAAAAGTATATAAAAACTTCATATACTGGTTGGGGCAGAATCATAGAAGACAATGTACACAGAGGCTGTCCCCAGATGTGTACCCCATCCACCCTCAACTCAAGGGGCAGAAAGCTGGGACTCACCGAGAGGAATTCCGTGAGCTCTCGCAGCAGAAGCATCTTTAGCTCCCCCTTGTTGAGCTTGAATCTGTCCCCTTCCTTGCAAGAGTACTGGTGGAAGATTCTAATCATAGTGTCCATGGCAATCTCCAGCTGAGTGGGCATGTTGGCAGCAGAACTGACCGCTCCAGGGGCAGGTACCAAACTCAGGCAGAAACCACTTGCTCAAAATAAACAGATGGGGAAACATCAACGCTTTCATTAAAACAGAGTATTACCATTCCCCAGTCATCTAACTTCACACATGATGGTTGTTAAACCATAATAATCTTTAGTTCGCCAAAGTGTCCCATCCGTCCAGAAGCAGGTGCAGGAGACTTTTGGGGAGCTGCTTTCCTCCGTAGTCCCCAGTCTCCTGAAATG